AAAAATTACTGTTGTCTATAAGAAACCGCCTTAAATATAAACACACACAGATTAAAACAGAGATGGGCAACACATTTGCTAACGCAAATTAAAAGAAAATGTATTACCCATAATACTTCTAGACAGGGGAAATTTATCTTTGGTGTCATTTTTGTTTTTGTTGCCTAATCTGTAATAGTTATTACCTGTAACTACTAAAAAAACTGAGTCAATAATTAATACCTCTCAAAACAGAAAGCACTGGGACTAGGCAAGTTCAATGCTAAATTCTATCAAACATTTAAAGAAAAAAATTATACCAAATCTCTAAAAATCTCTTTCAGGAGATAGCAGCAGAGGGATTATTTCCTGAAGAATGCAGTATTATCACCTTAATACCCTATCCAGAAAAACACTATTAAGAAAACTACAAATCAGTATGTTTCAGAAGGGATAATTGAGAGGAGGGGAAGAGAATGGGGGGGAAAAAAAAGAATGAAGATGCATCATCAAACAGGACAAATTCCCATAAAGAATGTGATCATTATGAATATCAAGAGTACCAGTAAAAATTTATCTTCAAAAACAGTATGTTTCATAACACAGCAGATGGAAAAACTGCAAAGAATCATACATTATCATACAGTGAAATTTATCCCAGGTATTTAAGGTTGATTCATCATTAAAATATAAAATAATCCATCTTATCAAACTTAAGAAAAATCATACCAATTTGATAAAGAAAAAGCATTTAACAATATTCAATGTTCATTCGTTATTTAAAAAGAAAAAAAAAAAAAAAAAAAAAGCCCTAGCAACCTAGAAGGGTCAAAGCTGCTACTCAGGACTGTGGATGTAGCTCAGTGGTACCATCTTACTTTCCTAACATGCAGGAAACCTACGTTTTATCTCTAAAACCCCACCTCCAACCCCCACACATGGTTACTGTGATAGTCAGATGTAACAAGTTATTAGTGGCTACTATCTTTCCAAAACACCAGTCCCTTGTGTTCCCGAAGTTAGTGACATAATAAGGGCTAGCTTTTCCATCTTACTGAATTATATTCTTCTGTGGCCTGGGGGTACTTTTGGAAAAACAGAGGGATTATTAAAATCCTCATTTAACAACTATGTTCCATTCTTATGACTAGATCATTAATTGGTTACTAAATGAGAAAATGTTATAGGATATACAATATTCAGAACAAAGAAATGGTCAAAGGAAACTCAACCTGATGACTTTGCTTTTACTTGCATAACTCTTACATGCAGTACTGTAATGTATAATATGTAACTACATATATTATACCATATAGTCAGGAAAAATTACAGTACTGTATAAATAAGGTGTAGTGTACAAAAAACACACTGAGGCTCTATAAACAAGTAACACGGATGCCCCCCCCCCACCAAAGCCATAAAAGTGGCTGATGATGAATCTGAACAGGTAGGTCATTAAACGAGGCATATCTGCATATGTCACGAAGTTTACCCATGGGTCATAGAAGTCTACACAGCAGTTTAGTCAATAATTCAAGAAAAAATATTCAGAGGCAACTTTTAAACAATAAGGATGCAAGGAAAAGAAAACTTACCTTTTATCCAGCTGCAAAACTATTGTCAGAAATACAGGCAAAAACGGAACTGGTTCAGAGTAAATGAAAATGTATGTCTTAAGTGTTTCCCACAAAATCAAAATAAGAAGGGCCTAGCAATATTAAAGAGCCCATATTGACAGCAAATAAGCTCAGTTCACTCAGTTATTTTCTGAAACAAGGGCAATACTGGAGAAGGGGGTCTTCGTTTGCCCATGTGTTAGATCACTCTGCCTCAGTTTTCTTCTATACCACAACTGTACAGAATTAAGACATTGCACAGCCACAGGTTAAAAGGCACATTCTGTTTTAGTTACTATGAAATTTTCATATTCTCAAATTATTCTTTATATTTTTACTGAAAACTTTAGATAATAGCAAATTTGATAGATTTAAGAAATGTTAAATTTAAGAATGTCAGTTCTAGAAATGACTGTCAGATTCAGGCGACTGGTTAAGCTAGAATATAATAAGATTTAAGCATACACTGGTAAAAATTTTTTTAAAATTATTTTGTTTTGAGGTACAGATACAGAAAAATTCTAAGTTTAGAAAGGCTGTGTAATTTGGACAGGAAAAGATGATCAATTTGTTATGACATCTACAATTGGGTAGCAGGAGCTGTAGGTCAATATAAAGTTTAAAAAAAGACACAAAACTACTTTGTCAAGTAAGGACATTTAAAAAACTAGCATCAAATATCAATATAATTTCACAAGAACAAATACAATCTAACACTAAGCAATACACTATTTGCCTCAGAAGTCTCCCAAATTGAACAAATTTACTTTTGTGACAAACTAGCTGCACTGTCCTTTCTTATTTTTGCTGGACCCCATTAAATACTTCATTAGAAACTAGTTCAAACCATGAATTTAAATTCTGATCAGGATAAGAAATCAAGAGTTACAAGCAATAAGGATTTCCCATTTTGACAGAATTTTCATCAGAACAATTAATGCAATAGCTGAGTATGGTGACAAATGCCTTAAATTCCAGCCCTCAGAAAGAGAAGGTAGGAGGATGGTCTGAGTTTGAAGCCAGCCTAAACTGCAAAGTGAGACTGTTTTTAAAAAAAAAAAAAAAAAAAAAAGCTTTTAGTTTTTTTTAATAAGCAAATTTAATGAACAATGACTTACTAGAAAATGTTACACTGTGTAACTGTGAAATCATGATCTGTATAAACCATAAAATGAAATACATAAAATGGGCAAATCAACGAGAACATGACACAAAATAATGTGAATGTTAAACGTACATTTTGATCTTTCTTTCCTATCATTTATTAAGTAAAAATTGTCCCTCATGTGTGTAAAATCTGGAAAGCTCTAAGAAATGTTAAGTGACTAGTGGTGATTATCTGTTTGGAGAGGTTTTCATATCTGTTTTCTAATTTATTTTTACAATCAGTATGTACAATAAAATTAACAAAGTTTTTAATTACTAATGAACGAGAATGGATAAAGACAAAATGTGGTAAGGGTAAAGCCAAATGTGTTAACAAGAGTTGATAAAAACAAATGCATTAAGGATGGGTTTCAATATTTTAAGAATGTAATGGGTTTAATTTAAATCACAAACATGTCATATAAAATATATTTAACATCTGTGGTATGTAAGCATAGATTATAGATGGAAATGTTTTCACTCGAAGGACCATGGTCTACTGGCAAATTTAACTTTTTATCAACTTTTGTTCCCAGAGGTTTAAGACTGGGTTACATTTTTTCCAAACATAACAGAAACATATTAATCAAGTATTAAGGTTGGTGTGGTGATGCATGCCATAGTCTCAGGTACTAGGGATGCTGACACAGGATGTTAACTTGACCCACTAATTCAGAACCAGCCTGGGTAACACAAGAGACCCAGTCTCAAACAAAAGAAGTCATTCAAAGCTTACCAGGCTTAACAGCTATTGGGAAAAAAAAAATTTTTTTTTGTCTTTTTTTGAGACAGGATCTCGCTATGCAGTTCAGGCTGGCCTTGAGCTCACTTCGTAGCCAGGCTAGTCTCAAACTCACACCGATCCTTCCATCTCAGCCTCCTGAGTGCTAGGACTACAGGCTTGAGCCACGGCGCCAGGCTTGGGAAAATATTTTCACAGGTTTGGGGCCAACACTATCACTTTAAAGCATACACATATTTAGCTCAAATGTTTCTGTGATTGTTTTACATATATACACACCTCTTGAATATAAGTCTTTTGAAAGAAAGTGTCTATGTTCCCAGGTTTCAAATTTCTGGGCTCATGCAACTCTGCTGGCTCCAGCTTTCCAGGCAGCTATGACTACAGTCACATGCCACCACACCCAGCTCACGTTTTTGTTTTTGTTTTTTTTTTTTTTCAAAAAATCCCAAAGCTCATGCACTAACTTTGTGTTTTAAATGTTAATTAAAAGTATATGGCTTTCAGCATTTTTTTTTCTTTCAGCATATTTTAAAAACTTTTAAAAGGTCTCTATTTTTTTTCAATTATTAAATACAGGCAATTTTCACTTTTCTTTATATAATGGCTCATTCAAAAGTTAAGCCTTTAAATTATTTCTTACTGCTTTAATCTAGCTAAATCCCGTTTTAAAAATTATATGCCAAATTCAACTCAAAGGAAATCCAGAGTTAAGGGAGTGATTCTGCTTCTGCAAAGCAGTTTCTAGAAACACAGTGTCACAAAACAGGGATTCATGTGATCGTCCATGGCACTGTATTATTTGGTGTTTTTTGTTTTGTTTCTTTTAGAACATGTTTACAGTACATATTATATTCACTGTGATACTTGATGGTTTCTTGATGAAAACTTGATTTGTATTTTTAAATCATTATTACTCATGGCTGCTGAAAAGCATTTCAAGTTACTAACAAAAAAATATTATTTGCATTTGCTATGCAGTTAATGGAAATTTGAACATTTCCATTAGTGTTTTCATTAGTGGCTAACTAGACTGCTGTTAAATAGAATAACTCTTTTCCATCTACTACAGAGAAAAATACTCTGCAAAAATACCTACTTAACAATCCAGCTATCTGACTCACCAAAAGTACTCTCTCAACAGGGAAGAACCCAATAATAAGGAAAAGTGAAATCTGTAGGCTGTATAAGGAGACACACACAGACCACAACCCAAGGCAAGTTTACTTATTGTTGTTCCAATACCAATGTCTCCTAGCAGTGATTGAAGAGGACCATCTCCTTATCATTGGCGTCTTCTATATAAGAGACCCCAAGTTGACCAGAATCCCCAAGGAACAACCAACCACAAACTGTGTAAGAATTAACTTGGCAAATCACCACAGAGAGTGATGCACTTGGTTTGAAAATAAAGTTGTTTGCTGATAGCGCCTACTCCCTATATAACATGTGAAAAGCTACCCTTTTTCTCAAGAATTTTTATACCCAAATATAGATACAGAAAGAGATAAAACACAGCAAAGTAACATAATATTTATTTGCCTCCTCCAGCAGCAAAATTTTGAAATCTTTTTTACAAAGCAAGCTCCTCCCCACCCATTTACTGCTTATAAAGTACACAAAACATTTACTTTATATGAACAAAGTTAAAAGCATTACATACAGATATATCCCATTCTATAGCGTACTTAGTTAAGAAAGCTAGTACCATCAAACTTAACAAGATTCTCCCAGTAAAATTGCCAATATCTTTTCAGTAAAAATTCTCTGAAGAAAATGACTCTGATCTTCTGTTATTAGTACAGGACATTAAAAATCATACAAATTTGCATCTTAAGAGAATTGTAAATACCTCTGAATATGTAGTTACCATAAAAGGGAGTTACTTGTAAATTCTGAGTTCTATTGGTCTCCCTCTGGTGGGAAAGGAAAGGAAAGGAGATGAAAACAATGAATGCAGGGAAGAGAAACTGTCAAAAGTAAAGATAATACCAAGGAGACAATTTGATGAGATGTGTTTGGAAGCTGCTGGAGATACCACAGGACAAGAGTTCAAGTTACCTCAAAAACAGCACCTTTCAGTATCAATGCAGAATATTCTGTATCTTCATTTTTCTCAAGAGCCCCCAGAAATTATTCCTAAATCAACCCAGAGGGAAATTAAGCCACATTTAACTACACTGAGGGAAGTATAGTGGTATTGTACCTCAGTTCAGGAACACATGTCTGCAAACAATTTTGTTTGTAAACAGCATTTGGCCACATTTTGTATTTATTTGCAAACTCTGCATCAGGGGACAAACAAGACTGTGGTCCCCTTTCCCACACAAATACAAACAAGGTCCTCTTTTCCACAGTTGTACAACAAATTAAGTTCACAAACTGAAGCACCACTGTACTGTTAGGTGACCCTGAAATATACAACGGAATGTCACACTCCACCTAGGAGATACTACATGGATTCTCTTCCAAGTCATTCTGTACCAGCCTCAGTTTGTTCTCACTGCTTAGGTAAACTACTTTGGGGCCAGACGTATGCTGTTGAGAACACTCCTTGGGATCAGGTCAAGTTAAAAAAAAAAAAAAAAAGTTATTCTAGATGTCTGCAGTGGATTATGGAAAAAATCATTTTCTAAACTACTTCTATAACCTTACAAGCAATAGCTACACAGATACCAACATATTTACATGGGTAACTTATCCTTTCTTCTGCTTAATTATCTCTTATTTCTGTCCCCCTAACCCTACTCATTATTTTGAAACCAGACACAACTCATGTTTCCCTTGGCAGACACTACTACTTTCTCTGCCTCACTGCCTGGCTCCAGCTGCCTCAACAGACAGCTCCAAAATCCAATTCAAGTACTTGGTAAGCAAGAAAAGCTTTCTCAACACCTTGTTACAACCCTCTTTTTTGTTCCAACATCACCACAGGCATTCCTCTACACAGAGCAACTACACTGTTCTGCTATTCGTTTCTCTAAACATAATGTCTCTTACCCTCAGTATTCCTAGACCTTCCGTAGTACCTACCTACACACAGCAGGTATTGAAAAAGATAAAACTTGACAATTGAAAAGATGATTGCTTTCAACATAAATACAAAATCAAAAAATGCCATCCATCAAAAATCATACAAACATACCTTTAACACCATAAGTCTTCAATCTGTATTCTTTTTCTATTTAGTTTGCACTTGAGGAAAGAGCCTATTTAACTATGTTTCTCAAGGATTTAGGCTACTATTAGGCTTGTACTAAGTCTTAAAAACTGTAAACAAGGGGAACATGATCAGATGTCATGAAATGCACATGCTATCAAATACATTCTTAGAAGTATGTATCCATCTGTACCCAATATTATTCCATAGCAGCACAATTACTTAAAAAAGGAAATCTACTTTGGGCTTCAGTATTTTTTTTAAACTACTTGCAAGGCATTAACTCATCTGAAAAGAAAATAAGCTTAGAAAACAAAGGACTTGTTAATATCAAGATCAAGGCCTTTATAATTCAAATACCAAGTGCTTTAAACCACACCATTTTCCTTCAGTTAAGATAACACCTGCAAGACGCCAGTTTTAAACATTAGTGTATATCAAGTTAAAAAGGTTTAAAAAATGTAGATCAATGAAAATAACAATTATGACTAAAATGATCAATGCTGAAAATGGACAGGAATAAACACGTCATGAAACAGAAACCAATGATTGTCAAGAATCATCTTAGTCCAGCACAATGAAACCTCAATCAGGGAACGAAGAGGACAGAGCTCCTAATCTGACAAGTGAAATAATCAAGAATTACTTGAGAATAAAATTTAGGCAACTGAAAAATTCACTGCACTTGAAATTTGTTGGTCACAGAGGTAAAGATATGAGCAGAGCCTTTTAAATACATGGAGGCAGGCCAGTACAATGCTAAAAGTCTAGTCTATTAACTTTCATAACACTTGAGTAAGCTACTTAATGACTCAAGTTTTACACCCTTACCTATAAATTGTGAATTTCTATCTCAAGAGAGTCTATTGATGTAGACAGAGCTTCTATCTTCTACTTCCTTCCCAAAGAGGAAGGTAACAGACAATTGGCTATCAAGGTGATTCCAAAACATTTTAGAATATATGAGCTCTTAAAAGGCCATTAAAGTAACAACACACAAGCAATTCTGTGCTGAAAGTCTAAATGCTATTACTTACATGTTAACTATATCCTACTCAAGGCAGAAAGGGATGGGTCACACATCTAACTGCAGGAAACACTGTAAGTTAAATGTTAATTTTTTTAAAGCAAGAACTGGACAGCCAGGTGTGGTGGTTCTCACTTGTAATCTCAGCACTAAAGAGGCTGAGGTAGGGGGACTGCTGCAAGTTTGAGGCCAGCCTAGGATACAAAGTTAGTTGAAGGCCAGCCTGAACTACACAGCGAGCCCCCGTCTCAACACACACAAAATAAATAAATATATAAACAAACAAACAAAAAGACTCCAAATAAATGGAATTGAAAACCTGAACTTATGTTTAATGATTTGGGGTAATGTATTTATTCCATTATCCACACCACAGCTGCCTCACTCTAATTAAAAGATATGTAACGGACTAAAAAACATTATAGTTACTTAACACATAAATACATTACAAATCAATATAGTGTGAAACATAGCCACCATGGATATAAGTAGAAGTCAACAAAAGTCTATCTATAGTCCTTAAAACTCAACGTTGTGATAATTAATGAAAGAAAAAATATTTGAAGAAATATACTGCATATGAAAATTGGGCTAAAAAAGACTAACAAAACCTATAACACAAGAATACCTGAAGCATTATGACAGAGTACTTTGAAATATCTCATCATATATAAAATATTTACTTTCACTATACCAAGAAATATACTCAGGAATACCAGAAAAAAAATAAAACTTTTAACAGACCTTTGAAGTCCTAAAAGAAATCTGAGCGCTCTAAACTTGACAAGTCATCAGAAAATCTAACAAACTACTGCAAATGGATGGTCACCTAGTAAAGCCTTTAAGACCTAGAGAAAACTGGTTAATTGTAAGAACAAGGTATCAGATAGGTAGAGCAGGGCTATATAGAGATATAGTCTATTCAGGCTATAGGCTTCAAATGAATTTGACCATAAACAATATGCAATTAAATAAAAAAAAAAATCCTGTCATTAAATAAGAAGGTGTTTAACTAATACCGCGTCAAAAGCCAAGGGAAAGTTTGAGACTACTGGTTATCTTTACTAAAAATGATGTTTTACTAAACATCTAAAAATCTCTCAGGAAAAAAGAAAATCTATCAGAATACTGCCTAAGACATGGTACTTAAATATACAAATACAAAGCCACATCAAAATGCTAGCTCATATACCCTGGTAAAATAAAAATATAATCTATCTCAAAGGAATTAAATCAGAAATATTTTTAGTAAGTATTACATAAAGGAGAAGAGAAGATTAATACAAAGAATAAAACAAGTGCCGGGCTAACATCAAAAGGACATGACTGGAATGGGACCACTTCAGATGTGTTCCACAAGAACCACAAATACCAGACACTACTACAAAGGTTTTCATTGCAGTAAGTTCAAACAAATGAGAAGACAAAGAAGTACAAGAACATCCCATTAATAAGAGAAAAAAAGATTTAATAAAACAATATTATCATCATCCAGGGAGAAAAATTTCCATAAATTTTAATGGTTTACAAACTCATCATATTAAAAATAAAAAGATTTTCATTCAATACAATAATCATCATCAGTTTACTGGTAACTTCCACCTGGTAACGTTAAGTAAAAAAAGGAACTGACCAGTTTATGTGTCTACTAAAAACCATGGATCTGGCCAACTGACTGACATGCATACAGGTATGACAATCAATTTACTGGGCTAGCCATCAAGTGGCTATGACGGCAAATGTCAAAAGATAAGGTAATCTGAACAGTGCCAAGACTGGGGCAAAACAGATCTCACACTAAAATAAGTAAGTGTCCAATTATTGCAACCTTTGAACTATTTCCAAAAAGATCTAATCCACATTTTCAAACCTTCATAAGAATCCCAATTAATTGTATCTTCACAAATAATGAGTTTGCCACTTAATTCTGTGTTCATGTTAAGTATTCAATTTTACAGAAGGGACTCTGCAGTTTCTTTCTCAACCTCCTTGTTTATTACACCTGAGAGGTCATCCTGGATGTAACAGGTCCTTAAGGACAGGACATTATCAGATCATTTAGGTATAAAATTCAGTAAACTATTACTGTAGTACTAATATAGAGTACTAAACAGTATCTAAGGAGCCTGAAAAAGCTTATGTGCCCCTCTACATGTCATTTGTGGGCTAAGTAAATAAATGAAATTACACTGATAAATTACACAGCTTTAAAGTTTAAATGTAATTATACTGACAAGGAAGCAATCATTCAGTCTAAAATAAATATATATGTATATATACACATACATACATAAAGTGTCAGCAAATTTACTGTTTTTTAAGAAGTCCTTGCTTTGGGCTAGGGATAGAGCTCAGCGGTACAGCGCCTGCCTAACAAGCACAAGTCCTGAGTTCGATCCTTGGTAATCCCACCCCTCAAAAAAAATGTCTTTGCTTTTTCTTACCAAATAAACACATTTTGTTACCATGGCTAAGAACAAGGTTAAACATAAGACAAATGACTTAATCAGAAAATTCAGAACATATGAAGCTGCCTTAATGCTCAGAAAACTGGGCTAATCACTAAAAAATAAAAAGAATTTTTGTGAATGAGAGGAAAGTATACCATTCTCTGAAATGAGTTAACAGTGCTATAAAGAAAAATAATATTCAAGGGAGTACATTTAGATAGTGCAATTAATATAATGAAGGCAATAAACTAAAAGATTAAAATGTGACACAAAACTCAAATACTACCCGCAATATATGCAAGACACCAAAATATAAGTTTTAAACATAGTGTGATATTTAAAAAGGCACTTCATATAACAATGGAGATAATTACTTCCTTATACATAGTAGCTACAAGAAATCATATTTTCTTCATATACATTTTCTGTCTAGTAAAGAAATAACATTTTGAAGAAAAAAGATCAGTAGACACATCCTTTTTGAAAATGCTAAATCATAAAATTTGCAGCTATGTCAAGGCCTCCTAAAAAACCTAGAGGTATTTTAAGTCAGAGGTTAGCCTAATAAAGAATTTTGCCACAGGCTCTGCACATAGCAGGAACAATGACTGCGTATCTGACTAAGATGAGTTCTGTTTTCTACTGGGGTAGGTTCTCTAGACCAGGCATGCACTTTTAGTTTTGTAATACCATCATCATTCAGGTATACGAGAGATTACAAAAATGATAAATGGGCTGAGGACACTGGGAAACTGTTTTCTTCTGCAGTCAAGAAACTAATACACAGGCACTGGCCAGTTCTACCCTGTTGCATTCTGTCCCTATTCCCACTCAACTATCAAGAACTTTCACTAATTTACCTAACTGGTTACTCAATTTGTTGGTTTCCACTAATACTTTTCCACTTTAAGAAAAACAATTTTCTAGGGATGCTTGGGCTTAAGTGGTTAAGCAGGGTCTCTTTATTACTGAGTAATGTAAGCATCAAAAGAGAACAATTGTTTTCTTTAAAATATTTAAGAAAGCTACACAACAACCTGGAAGTAGTTAACAGTAATAATGATTAAGGTGCTACATTTTGAATTTTTTAACCACAATTTAAAAGGGGGAGAGGAGTAGAAGCATGGTACAAAAGCAATTTCAGAGAATCATGTTAAGCTTTACAGTTATCTCAAAAATCACCAAGTTTGTGATGCACCATGTGATTGAGGGAAGAAAAAAGGAGAAATGGAATTAGAACAGCATTAGTAACACTGATATGCAGCCACATAGAAGCTCAGGTCTTTCTCTTGTGAGATGTCAGGTGGCGAGTCCTTTCATGGGACAAAACTACAGCACCAACGCCAAGGGCACAAGAGTGCTCCATTGGTGCCAAACACACTGCAAGCAACAAAAATCTACATGTAATTTCTTAGGCCCTTGATTTCTTTTTTAAGATAATCAATAGTAAGTTTCAAAGACAAGTTTTTACAGAGCACTGGCACGGATCCAACTCTGTGAGAAATATAGAAAAGATAAATATTAACTTTAGATGCAACTTGGTTAAATGTACTCAAATGATCTTCATAAAGACTAGTTCAGGCTTCATGGATAAATAGCACAGACAGGACCAATACAATATCCTAAGATTACCTGACAATAAAGTAACTTCTTCCAAGTAGGGATAATTAATGTCTTCAACCTCTATGGCAAGTGGAAATAAAAAGTTTAAAAATAAGTTTAAAAAATGTGCTGAATGACAGGAGAATAAGCTTCTAATAAACTATTAAAAGGGTATCAAACATTATTTGAAAGAAAGGGCAATACTGTGCAAGAACTGTGACAAAAAGAAACAGAATCACATATGCCCTAAAACAGTGCTACATGCGCCAACACTGCACCTAAAACACCTGATCAAACAGACAAGACAAATGTTTGACAAACCAAAAAAATTACAGAATTACTTAAGTCTGTCAAAAAAAAAACTCTTTTGGCTATTAAGCAAGTAACAGTAACTGATGTATTCAGAATCTTTCAACATTTTCTCCATTCCCAGAGCCATGCTGTGAAGACAAGGATCTAAAGGCCGGTATGCCATATAGCCAGTGCCTTGAGATACACACAGAAGATATTGTGGGATGTGTGACTGAGGTATCTGCTGCCAGTTCCAATATGGCAGAAATGTAAGTCATCTCTTACAGTGAGTTTGACAAGATTCAGTGACCAATTAACCAAGAACACGTCACTTGAAGTCTTGATTTCAACCTTTTAAAAAAATCTTTAATGAATGTGATTAGACATCCAGAAACGAAAACTATCTGGCTTGTTTGCTTCATGACATCCACAATTTTGCTTTAAGCCTTAAGGATTTTTCAACAAAAGCTAAACTGATGGCACCTCATTTCACTTTTGCCAAGAGGACCAGATTGTCAGCCATGTTTTAAATTTTTACAGAGTTCAGATTTGCATGCCTTCAGAGTATAAATAATCTTTTATTTCCAGAGCATTGCTATTCACATCTTTATATTTAGAGTAGGATGCATTATCAAGCTCAAACAAATTAACTGTTGACATGATAGATTTCAGAAGGCCATCTTAGTGAAAGGCCCACATTAATACAGTGAGACCTTTATTACAGTCTCTCAACTTGATATGTGAGCTTGATAGTTCAACGACTACTAAGATCTATGACTACAAAGAATTATCGCACATGTAGTTTTAGGAGAGTTGATGGTATAGTGGCCATCAGTCTTAATGAAGACACTACAAAAATTTCTATATCATTATAGGTAGAAAAGTCTTTCCAGCTGGTAACCACAGCAGACTTGTGACAGGAAGCCATTCCAGCTAGACGCAAACTGGATTTGGCAAAACTTGTTTGAATTCCAATTGGCACATAGCTTCACAGCTGATTCTAAAGTCTCACGGAGCTTGATAGTAGTCTGAACTCTTGGTGAGTTGATCATCTTGACACAGAGACTATTAACAGAGCTGTCATTTAATGAAGATCCATCAAGCTGATGCCTGGACAAAGCACTGATGACATAAAAATGGAAGATTTGCCTCTGGTCTTACTAAATAGAATCTAATAGTAAACTGTTTCCAGATTCAAAATCTACTGGTCCTCATTTTACCACACAATTTTCCTAAGGAACATGTATCTATGTACTTTCTCTTAACCTAAGAGAATCTGGAGTCCTAAGTGCCCTCATCTGGCCTTATTTTGGACCACAAACAATGGGTAACCTTTGCCCAGCCCTCCTTACGGCAAAATTTCCAATACTCACTTGGCCAAAAAAACTCGAGTCTTTTCATTTTACACTTCAAACATTCACTGTAATCATTCCAGACACGCATGCAGTTTATTGATGACCTTCTGTTTATAGTTAATCCTACTTGAGTGGTGTGAAACAAATGAAAAAGAATCCTGAATGACTTCTGCTGAACACACAGTTAATTCTTATATCCATGTCGTTCTGGAGAGTCTTTTTTTCTATACCTATAAGGGTGGTTTCTGGGTTTGTACCAATCCCTTCTGGAATATCCTCTATTGTGATAATACGCTTTTTGATCATGGCAATTAAAGTATCGATGCTGGTTATAGTATTTGTGATTCTTATAGTCATTTTCTTTAATACTATTGTCTTCTGCAACAACAGCATTTACATCTTGTCCAAAAAGAGAAGTACCATCAAATGGCAAATGTAAGATCTTTTCCTGGGTTTTCTTACTGAGAGATGTAAGTCGGAGCCAGGCTTGCCTTCTATAGTCTACCGCCATGGCCATAACTCTGACTACTGAGTCCATTATGTCCCTAGTGGTACAGAGCTGCCAAAGGCCTGCATCCATACCATCAGATATTATACACCTTGCTTTTCCATGATCAAACTGTGGATTATGAACTAAATCTTCCATGTCTTCCCAGAGCTTACGCTGATACTGAGTCATATAGGCCATATAGCTGGCAGCTCGAGCCGCAATGGAGGCAGCGCGGTAGAACCTACCACCCATGACCTCCATTTCTTTTGAGGTAGAATCTAAAGGAGATGTTGTGCTTCCTCTTTTGCTGTGCTCTAATGTTTCTACAATGGGGCCCTCAGCTGGTGGATTTGGTTGGAAAGGAGAGGTATCCTTGGACACAGGATATACCCTGTGTCCCATGAAAGAAGAAGGGTGACAGTCAGCAGGGTCCTTAAAAACCTCAGTACTGGCAATTCTCAAAAGTGGATGCAATGGTGGAACCAAACGTTTTTTAGAAGTTACACACTCAGGCTTCCCTTCACATGATTCTGTTTCAGATTGTAAGGTTACCCTCTTTATAACACCTCTCTGTTCCATTCTCTTCAACAGACCTGTGAAACTAGATCGGGTGCGGTCTGTTGGCTGCCCTTTGTTGTCTGCTGATGGAGATTTGTAATTTGTAGCTTCTTCTTCAACTGTGGATAAATTTTCTTCCTTAGATGTGGAGAGGTCCCAAGGAACTGAAGAATTCTCACTTGGCCTAGAATGATGAAACCTAAAACAGCTCCTGGACTGCAGATCACGTATTACTCGGGACATTTCAGCCACTTGTGTCTGGAGATAGAGGATAGCATCCTGTCCATGCTGTGAAGTAGAAGACTCTATGGGTAAATCTTCTTTGACCTCAGAAGAGTCCAAAGATTCCTGGGGGACCAGAAGTGAAGATGAAGGCAAAGTCTGGTATTTTTGTGAAGGTTTACGTGTCTCTGTCTCAGAGATTTTATTATCAGAATTATTTTGATCATTTTTCTGGTTTTCCAATGGGCTCTCAACAGAGGAAAGCTGAGAAACTATCCTTTGTGGACTGCTGGTACAGCTCCCAGAGGAGGAGCTGCTGTCTCCAATGGGAAGAGGAGCACTGCAGCTAGAACGATGACTCTCAGAGGGTGGCACCTTAGATTCAGGCATTCTCTGGGTTGTCCACATGAACAAGGAAACCAAGGAAGAGAAAAATATGCTTTTAATATGTTAACTCTCAAACGCAGAGATGCATGTCCATTCAGCAGAATTCAATTTTTAAATTATTACAAATAAAAATGAAAAACACAATCCACTACAGGTCTGCAAAAGGATAACAAAAGTCACATCCACAAGCTCCACTACCCCAAGCATTACATGGTCATTACAGCTATGGTCATTAATATGGGACAACTACATCTATGAAAAGCAGAGTGAAACTGAGCTAAGTTTAAGTGATGCTATCTTGGCCAGCTGCTTGGTCCCATGCTAAAATGAGGGGTAAGACCACTGGTAATAACAACTAATAAAAGAAAAAAAATCCCATTCAACATGTGTAAGTCAGCGAGTAAGAAGCTAATAATCAGGAAAGTTGCACTGAAAACAACAACAAAAAAATTCTAAATCTCCCTTATTAAGAGTTATTTTAAGACCCTTTCAAAATCCTATTATTTATTGTCCATGAGCAACAACTTTCAGTTAAATATTCCTACTTTAAGGTTTGTAGTTTTAAGGAGTGTACATATTTGTTACCTTCTTCATCCTTACCACAATTCTGTGAGATAAGTAATATTCTCATTGAATTAAAAAGTAAAAACACAAGGTTAAAAGGTTAGTTTCTCCAAAGTATCAGTAAGAGTAAAGGTGGGTCTCAAACCTAGTTATTTTACTCCCAAGTCTGAGTCTCAATCCCTTGAGTGATAAGCAAGAGTTCTTTAATCCATCAAGAAAATTGCCCATTAATAAAATTTGGGCAAAGGAAAAGACAAATGAAAAGACTGCTACAAAAGACTCAATTCAATTCTCAAAGTATGGGCTCAAGCAGCAAGTCACAGTTTAAGATTAATAACTACAGGTATGGGGGGTTGTAAAAGGGATGAAGATCAACTTAATTATCAATTATTAACCCTCTCCTATATTCCATTTCCTAAAGGATCTTCACATGTCCTAGATAAAACAACTTTTCTAGTCACATAGTTTTGGAAGGATCCAGACAGTGCAGGAAAAGAGAAACGCAAGAGGAGTCAAAACATTTGCAGTTTTTATTACACTTCTCTTTTATCAGTTATCTCTTTCAGGAATTTTTTAGTCATTTTATCTTCTCAGATCTTCACTGAAACTAAAGAAACAAAATTAGAAGAGGAGATGTTTTGAGCAAAAGACTCCTTGGATTAGGTATTATGGACTATACTAACAGAAATAGGCCACTTTCTAGAGTACAATAGCTCCTACATAAAGCTATCATTGACTTGATTACTTCCTTTAGAGAAACCTCTCCACTGGTACAAATGAAGAAATGTAAATCAAATATAATGTACTTACCTCAGGACGTGAGGTGCTAGGCTCTTCATCATCACTGCTGACCAGATCAATGTATTCAAGAACAGGTCTTAATGGTCCTTCCTAAAAGAATCAAGCAAATTTTAAAAGTTGTAACAATTTATTTAAATAAAGATAGCATTTAAAACAATTTTTAGTCAGGATTGATTCTAAAGAAGAAGCCTATGAGTCGAAGAAAAAAACGGAATAAAAGACATAGAAATATGCAGAGTATACAAGTTAAAAATGATGACAGGAGGGGCTGGGGATTTAGCTCAGCGGCATAAGCTCCTGCCTTGCAAGCAGGTAGTCGTGAGTTCGATCCCCGGTACCGATAAAAAGGAAAAAGACAAAAAAAAAAAAAAGAAAAATGAAGACAGGACTTAAACACCTACTGATGTTAGGGCCATGCCAAATGCCTGGAAAGGAAGACTAATACAGAAATACTGTAAAGGACACAGACACTGTGGTTCAATGATTTCCAGCTGGGATGAGTCTGTTAAACTATCCAAGCTTACTCACCGGCTAGGGGTAGGGTATAGTTCAGAGATACAGTACTTGCCTAGCACTCTTAAAGCCCTGGGTTTGATCCATAATAATGCCAAAGAAAAAAAGAAAAAAAAAAAGATCCAAACCCAAAATGTGGAGATCTCTGACCAACAACTTAGCTCCCTTTCCCACACACACACACATCAAATCCAAAATGTCTTCCAACCTTTCTTCTTATTCATGCTGACTTATTTCTTCATATACCAGGCCTTGAATGCTGACTGCAAAGTCTAGATTTGACTTTATAGGCAAAAGGAAAGCAATAAATGAGACTTGTGGGAGAAATCCAGACAACTAATCAGTATGACACATAGTAACACCAAGCAATGGTAATGGTTAGAATAGTGAAGTAGACATATACAAAGAACATGGGCAAAGCAGAAGGTAAAAAACCTGGACGGTAAAGAAAAAACAAAATCAAGGGCTCAAAGAGGTTTTTAAGGTTTTAATGCTTAGATGACTACATCACTACTATAAATTCAGAATGCAAAAACAGAAGTGCTAGCTAAAGTACCTAAAGTATAAAGGGTTATTTGACATCTGATAATGTGGGCTCATAATCCAAAGGTATGAGCAACCTGGAAATAAAGACTTGGGAGTTCCTCCCCAGAAGAGTACTAAATTCTAGAACTAAACTGTAACTGTAACATTGCCTCAACAAAAAATGGTCATTGTAGCCAAAAATATTGAGCATCAAGATGTCGCTGAATTTGGCAAGAGAACACACCTAAAAGTGAACAACATCAGAATAAAGTAGTAAGAATTTTAAAAAAGTAAAGAGAGCCAAGCACTGTCGTACACACCTCACTTTCATCTACTCTGGAGACAAAAAAGATCTCGAGTTTAAGCCCAGCCTAGGCAACTCATCAAAATCCTGTCTCAAAATAAAATTAAGGGCCAGAAATGTCAGCAGAAGACTTGCTTAGCTAGGGATGGGGAAGGAATAGGAGTAGAAAAGATCATCAGTAGAGGTTATTTCTTCAAGAAATCTGGTACTGTGTTAGGCAAGAAGCCATAAGATAAGCAGGAGGAGAAAGTGCCTGAGGGAAAAATATCTTAGAATGGGAAAAGTTACTTGTTGGTGAAAACAGCCAAGATCTGATTCTTCCTCCCTAAAGAGGTGCTGACAGCTTGTTTTTCCAAGGCTATCCTTTTGGGCCCAGACACCAAAATAAAACTAGTAGGCAATAAAGCAACTCGGATTTTTGCAAACTTGTATAAGGAAGAAAGATGAAGAGAAGGAGGGGAAAAGGAAAAAAAAAAAAATCAAAGGAATGGGGAACAAATATTCTTTTCATATGTATGGTACGTATCATGTGTATCATCTATTTCTACCTCTAGTATTAATACTATCAAAGTCACATGTTCAACTCAAGGAGGAAATGAAGGAAGCTGACGATAAAACTGTAATCACTTTCACCATTCACATCATCACCTGAATTTGCTCTCTCCAAGAAAGAATGGTGTCTTACAAATTTTTATTATAACCTCACAAAAGTAGTAAACGAAGAAAGTCCTCATGTAACCAGAAATATATAGAATGAGTGGCAGATTTTTCATGATCAGTAAAGAAAAAAGGGATAAGAATTAAAAATTAGCTGCAGAGAGCTGAGACAAACCTCCAGGAACCATTACACCAATGTACCACCATTTTGTAAACTACAGAAGATCACAATTTCTGCACACACACGCGCACACACACACACGTCAGGATTTTAAAAAAACCTCAAATGAGAAAAAATAAAAGAATATTCATTCATTCATTCAATAAATTATTACTAATTTACAAGCAATAGTGGGAAAATGAGAAGGGAAACTGAATTAGATTGCCAAAAAGTGATGAGGCCATGATAGCAGTGCCTCAGTTCATGAACTTCTTTCTGCAATTCTAGTCTCAAACCAAATTGGGTGACAACTGAATCTACGTTTAATGTTGATCTTATGGGGAAATTGATTCAGTTCTTTTCCAACTGTCACGTGACCAGAAATGTGGAAAGATGTAAGTTTGTGGATCAAGGTGCTACTACTCAGTGGCATAGTATTTGATTATTAGCATGCTCAAGGTCCCTGGGTTTGATCCATAGCACTGAAAAAAAAAGAAAAAGGTAAGGGAGGTAATACGTTAATAAACGTATTAAATGGTAAAATAAGCAAAGACAAGTATCTCATAGAGTATAGTATGCAGATCAAGCATACTTCAGCAAATTTTCATGGCAGAAAAAGTCCCACCATAATGAATTTAAGGAATCAAAACATAGCCTTCCACTTAACTTACTGCTAATCAATACCATTTTATTTGGTTTATACCATAAAACACCATGATAAACTTTTTATGTGTATTATCTCATCCAATCCGAACTGTTTACAAAACAAGAATTATTATTATTTATCTCATTTAAGAGATGATAAAACAGTGAGATATATCTGGTTCTTGAAACATGTAATTGTGTGGTCTTTACAATTCTGAGTTACTTCAAAGTATAAATTCTATTTTAAAATCGATATTTATTATCCAGGTTTCTGGGATAACGTTTTATCATCCTTCAATAAGAGAAAATAAGGCTGCTACTGTACTTCTAAATATCTCACAACACTGACCCAAAACCAGTTGATAATTCACCTAAGAAGTAACATTCATGGAGCTCCAGTAGCACAATCAGTTAGTATGCAGTACTTATACAGAAGTAACATTCATAATACAAGTATCAGGAAAAAACAAACATTTACAGTGACTTCTTATATTTTTATTAAGTACAAATACACATGGTCCTCTCTTATGAAGTATTTATTTGAATTTATACCACCTATCACTTAATAAAATCACCATTCTCATCCTCTGTACCAAAAACAAAATCAAAGGATTCAACCCTCAGTGCAATACAATTTAGCAGTAAATACATATGTACAAGCATGACAAACATTCAGGAACACAGTTAATATACATTTTAAAAGCATACTTCAAAGAAATAAAAAGCTGCCATTCTTTGAATTATAAAACTTATTCTCAAAGCAAAAGCCCAAATTTACTATTTGGAAAAAGATTTTAATACACTGAAATGCGGTCTATGAAAAAAGTGGTTTACTTCAAAGAATTCTCTACAACAATGAATATGAATTTGGACATAAATACAAAAACCTAACTTTAAACCCTACATAATCATATTGTATTGCCCACACGAAGAAGCTAAGGGTGTATTTTACTTCAGAAATCCTGCCCAGTTAAAAAAATTTTCAAATAGCTCTCAATTGACTATTTTATAATTCAAATTTGTGTCAACACTCAGTGTATGATCTGGCCATCCTTTTCTCACCAACTTCAAAACCAAAAATAAAAACACATCCTCCAGAACCACATTCTCCTGCTTTCCTATGTTCATGCCCTTCTTTTTTCTTCTGCTCAAAATGCCATTTAAAACACATATATAACCAACTACTCAAGAACTGAAGAATCTAGTGTCCTTTTAAAAGCACTAGTGCTTTCTGTAAAACATCTGTTAGAACTGCTTACTGCTTGTATCTGTACACCACAGTAAATAGCAACACTTAAGGTAAGACTTTAACATTTAAACTAGGCTTTCCCTACTATAAACTTCAGCATTCTTTGTGTTTAATGGTTAAATTAACATCTAGGAAATCTAGTCCAAACACTCATTTTCTTCAGGAATCCCTTCTACTCCAGCTAAAGTATTAATATCCAACCTATACAATCAACAAGTTACTTGTTGTTACTAAATTGTCTTGATTTCCCTGGCTTACAGTTTTCAGTAATTCCAGATAACAATGATAATTTTGGATAAAACCTCAACCTTTCCTATCACACATTCTGAGGTTCTGGATGATTCCTTTATCGGTTTTTGCAACACTGTGTCCAACACGGCACCACCAACAATCCAACAGGGCACCACCAACAATCCTATCCACAGCTAGTAGCTAAATTTTCTGATATAAGGCAGGTGTAAGATCTGTGGTTCCAAGCTTTGAAAAAAAAAATGCCTGAATAAAGAAGCATATTACTAAGCAGACAATGAAACAACAGACCTAAGTCAAAAGGTGTTATGGCAGCACTGTTTCTTGATCTGGGTACTTTTGTGCAGAAGCACTGCCTTTGCAAAAGTTGAACAAACATATGCACTTATGAATTGTGCATTGTTTTATGTATTTCAATAAAATTTATTTGAAAGGGCTCCTTATTGCCTCTCCACATTTTACGGTTTCTGTCCTTCAGCAGGCTGCATTTGATTTCAGGCTCTGTATTTTAAAAATCATAGAAAGTCTGCTGTGTCAGCATCACAAAGATTAAGGTAAGAAAATTAGATTAGTGAAAGCTAAGAAATTCAAGCCAGAGTAAATCAAGAAGTGACATGATAGTGTATTTTCTGTTACATAAAAAACTCAAGTAAGACAAATGGTTTTCACCTTTACTGGGTAAGAATTACCTTGAGGAATCAAGTAAAGGATAAGGTTACAAGGAAATAAAAGATCCCATCTCTGAAGGTGTTTTAAAATACAATTAACCTGGGGCTGGGGATTTAGCTCAGTGGCATAAGCAACTGGCCTGCAAGTGTGTGGTCAACAAAAAGAAATTAAAAAAAAAATACAATTAACCTCTCACTAATTGTCATAAAGTGGTACTACTTAAGGGCCTTGGGGAGGGGGCGGTTCCTGAAGACTGAATCCAAGGCCAGCACATACAGTTACATCCCCAGCTTTTCTTTTGTTTTCTTTTTTATTCTGAGGTAGGGTCTAAATCACTGAATTGCCCAGGCTGGGCTTGAATTAGTGATCTTCCTGCTGCAGCTCCCAAAGTGCTGAGATTACACGAGTACACCCTTTAGGCCAGGCAACAAAGTTTTGTATAGGCTGCTTCTAATATTGTAACTGTACTTAAAAATAGGTAATTTATTTTCCATTTAGAGCCACTAAGCCATTAAACCTTTACAGAAAACAGAGGTAACTAAGAAATCACATCAAGTTGAATGTACAATACACCAAGTAAATCTTCTCGATAAAAGATTGAAGTGACCAATGTCTTAAATAAAATTTAAAGATGCTTTTAAATTTCAGCTGAACAAAACCCTATTAACTACTCAAAGGGCGATGATTCACAAAGACGACTTTTATTTGCATGAAACATCAGGGTGAATATTGCGTTCATACCAAGATTCACGAAGGACCCGAAATATTTGTCCCAAAAAGCCACGGAATCCTATTATCGAACACACCTGGTTTAACAAACACAAAGTTATGAGATCAATCCTCAGCACACATTCCCCTGAAAAACAAAGCACAGTGAAGAGAGAATCAGGATACAATGCATGCCCATCCCCTATTAGTTAAGATGAAAAGGACAGAATACAGCATGTGCTAGCAAGGGGTAAGAAAGACAGGACCAAACTTCACAACAAGCTCATTACAACACTACACAACAAGGGATCCCCGCAACAGCACAAGGTTTAATTACTACTTTTATACAGTTGATTGACAGCCTCTATCAATACATATTTGATGAATACTCAAAAAAGATGCAACCTTAACACCAAACTACAACTACAGCATTAATGGAGAGCAGCTTAGAGTAGCAGTGTCTTCTAGCTATTACCTAAAGCAAGAACAACTGTAAAACCAGCTAAAAATGAAAGCCACCCACAACACACCATAGTTACCTTTCTCCCAAAGCCAATGCTTTATCAACGTGATCAGAAATCCGTGCCCTGTTACTTCTTCCAAAATGAAAAAAATTCTGGCCCTTGCCTTGAGTTTTTGATTCACAACATCTAGATTGGGTCAAAATATCTGCCTGTTCACAGCTATTTTGTTTTTTCAGATACGATGGAAAAATCTTGTCCCAAAGAGAAGACACTCAGAAAAACAGCATGGAGACGCAGGACTGTGCATCAAGACCACCGAGTGTCGCACCGCGCACAGCCGGCAGGCAGCGGAGCTGCGGGACGCCGAGAGGCTCAACGTGCAGCCCTCCCGGTCCCCTTCCGGGTGTCAGAATCGTCCCTGGGATGACAGTCCCTGTGTGCCATCTCCGGGAAGACATTCTCACCACGTCAAACCAGAGCCGCGTCGCAAGTGTAAAGCACGTGAGGCAGAGACAGCGGCGGCGTGGGGGCGTCGGGACCCGGGCGTCCTCTTTATGGCGGCCGCCGCGGTGGCCCAGAGCTCGCTCAGGTCCCTCCCACGACCGGGTGGAGCGTCCCGGGACCCGCGGGACCCCACAGCTGCTGCCCTCCGCGGGGCGGGTGCTACTCACACTAACGAACTGGATGTCGTCCTCGTTCTCCTCCGCGGCGGACGCAGGGGCCTCGGGGCGGGCAGGAGAGACGGCGTCCACGATCTACAAAAGAAGCCAGAAAACCTTAGTCCCCCGCCGCCCGGGGCTGAGCCTCCGGCGGCGAGCAGAGACAAAGCTCAGAGGGAGCGCGGCCGCGGCGCCAGCCACCGCCCCGGGCTCCCCGCACCGGAGCAGGGCCGCGCGCCGCCGCCCGTCCCCGCCGCCCCGGGCGCAGGGCAGCCATTGTGGGGCCTGACGGCCGGAGAGACGCAGTCCCGGCAGGCGGCCCGGCCTCGGCGCTCACCTCCGGCCCGGGGTCGCCCATGTTTCCGACGCCCAAGAGAGAGAGGCGGCGCCCCGGCCGGCCACGGCGCCCCTTCCGGTCCGAGCCTCCGCTAGCTCTGCCCGGCCTCACGCGCGCGCAGCCGCCGCTGACGCCACAGGCGGCCGGGACGCGAGGAGCGGGCCGTGCTGGGGGCGGGGCATGCGAGTGTCCGCCCCCTTCCGCACGCTGGGCTTCCGGCCTCCGCTGCGGGGCCGCCGGGAGTTGTAGTAGTTCCCGCAGGGTGTTCCTGCCCTCGTTTGCACACGCACGCGGAGTGTGTGGCAAAACGAGCAGGGGAGAACCCCTCGGTCAGGTGCGCAGTGTGCGCAGAAGTGGATGTTGCAGGCCGTGCGAAAGATATACCTGCTTCCAGGCTTTGCGGCAGGCTGCTTGGGAGGGTTGCAGGTTTGAGGCCGTCCAAGACCTTCAGTAATGAGACTGTCTCAAGATTTAAAAAAAAAAAAATGTTTGGAAAGGCCTGGACTTGTAGTTCAGCCTGCAGGAGTATCCTCAGTATTGCCGGGGGTGGGGGGAGGCACAGGAAAACGGACGCTTCATTTGTGAGCATGAAAAGACAGGTTCTGCCGTGCCCAGCGAGTGGAGCCAGAGGCTCCCGAGACGGTGACCGGGCCAGAGGCTTCACCAACCGCGAGCCCGAGGCTCTGCGCGCTCCACCTCGCCAGGCCCACTCGGGGTTCCTGAGTCATGCCGTGGCCCAGCCAGAGCGGAGGTGCTGTCTGCAAGACACCACGAATGTCTTGTATTTCTGTTTGATGGTTTCCCTTAGTCTTAATTTCAGGCAGGGTTGACGATTCGGGGAATGGGAGAAACAAACAATGAGAACAAATTTATTAGTACTAGTGATCCAGGAAACGATACAGGAATGGTATCAGGCCCTCTCTAAGGGAAATACAACTCCCAACCTCCTAGAGGTCCCAACAGAGGTTAAGAGAAGGAATATTAACTGCGGAGGAAAGGGGCCTAAATGGGTTGCTGAGGACCATACTTCTCAGGGAAAGTTTTATTGAGCACAACCACATGGGTATAAGGTAGGTTACAGCTATGGTCAATCGGTAAAGTTACAAGTACAGCCGCTTGGGTAATACTGATCTGATGAAGAAGCAGGTTACATTAGCAAGTGCACGTGGAAAGAACAAGAACTTTTTTACGAAACGAGTTCATGGGTCTTGGTCACCCACTTGGGGGACCATTAACTATCTAGACCTTTTTAGGCCAGGTGTTACCCCTTTTTGTCGTCCTTGGGGAAGTAAGCAGGTGTAACACGCATCCCCAGCAGCAGCTGTGATGTTTGTGCATTGGTCCTGACTGACTAAGCTGTCTATAATACTGGTGCTAGGAGGGCCTGAACCCAGGCTTTAGTTTTGGTGTGGCTGTCAGAGCAAACCCTGCCTGAAATTAAGACTAAGGGAATATTTCTGTTTCAGAGATATAGGCCAAGGGTGGGAATGAGTCTCTGGCTTCCTTTTTCTTTCTTCCTTACTTTCTATTTCTCTTCTCACTTTCTTTTTTCCCCCTTTGAGGAGATGGGGAATGTGGAGGTTTAGTGGAATTCAAGAATCTTGAGGTACTCTTACATTATTTCCTTCTTCTCCAACGTAAGTCTTGGCGGCTCTACCAACCACCAGTACACCTAGAAAACCAAATGGAGAGTTGAGGACCACAGCATACAAAAATACTCAACATTCCAAATCAGGGAAGAAAAGGTTTATTTAGCCCACAGTTTGTGGAGGTTTCAGTACATAATCAGCTGTCAGCTGGCTCCAAGGCAGGGTGCCCTGGCACAGGGGCTACACTTCAAGGCGGCAGAAGACAGCAAAGCAACAAGAGCAAAAGCGGGCGGGGGGAGGGGGGGTGGAGAACAAGCCTCTTTCCCTTCCTTATACAGTGAGCAGGCTACTGCCTCCTCCTCCGGGGCTGGTGTAGCTCTCACCCCACCTGGGTGCCCTCCTTTTGCACAGACTAAGGATGTTTACAAAGTAAGGACTCTGGCTCGCTGCTAAGTGACTTAAACTTTTAAACTCATGCTGACACAATGTATCAACCATAACAACAGGCAAACTTAAATTTGAGGTTCAATAGAAAAGACAGCAAAGTTTAGCAAACTTTTATCACTAAAGGCTGGAGCAATGAACTTAAAACATACTTTTCCAGAGGCCAGGGATTTAGCTCAGTGGCATAAGCACCTGCGTGGCAAGCACAAGATCATGAGCTCAATCCCTGGTACCAAAAAAAAAAAAAGAAAAGAAAAAGAAAAGAAAAAAGAAAAACACTTTTCAAAGGTATTTTTACATATGCCCTGCTATACAAGGCTTAACTTTATTGTTAAAAGTATGTAGCATACACCATTCTAAAAATATTTCAATTTAGCTACACATGTTAATCTTTTCCCAAATAATGTCTTACCGACAAAAAGCCTTTTTAAAAACACACTAGTGGTCAGTAAGGTTTCTGAAATGGGTTTTAATGTGAGTATATCGTCTCTATACCAAACTATGATCTGATTGTTTATATCAGCTGTACATGATTAGTTAATATCTGGTGTCTCCTAGATTTTCACTAAATGCATTATGCTTGCTTCTCCATCTAATGAGTTTTAGGTTTATACAGGCCAGTTGAGAACTAGAGACCTGCCTATGATGAGTTCTTCAAATGCTCATTACCTAAATCACACATTTCTAAAAGTTTTAAATGTGTTAGCAAAACTTCTACTCAAAAGATTGCCCTAATGTACAGATGAAGAGTTTAGTGGAACATTTACTTGGTCACAGATAAGACTTAATGCTCTTGGGAAACAGCCAAGCAGTATGTGGCTACAGCTGAAAAAAGCACCTATTATTCAACTCAGTAATTGATGTTGCAGGGATTCATCCTAATTGTAAAAATTTGAAACTATCTCAACATGGAGTGAATGTGGGAGGGAATGGTTAAATTTTGGTACATAGTCTATCAATATAACATGGATAGAAATTTTCTTTACCTCCACTGACAGTGTTTACCTAAGATTTTTAAAAGCCTATTTTTCAAAAATGTCAGGGATATGTAGTATGAAATGAAGCACATCAAACCCCCAACCATTACTGAAATATAAGAAGCTTAATTAAAGATCAATAGTGAATTTTTCCCCCCTGAGTAGCTGGAAAAGAATGTGTGTAAAGAAAGATTTGAAGCCAGGTGTGGTGGTGTATGCCTGTAATGCCAAACTGGGGAGATAGAGGCAAGAGGATCGCTGTGAGTTTGAGGCCAGCCTGGGCTACATGGTGAGTTCAAGGTAACTGAGACCCTGTCACAACAAACAAAACAAGATTTGAAGCTCACCAATAGGAAGTGAGAAACATGCATGTGGTCCCCCAAAGCCAAGTTTATTTAGCTTGACATGGGAAAGGAGACAACCTATGGCAAATGTTCAGTCATAGGAAGTTAAGAAAAGTTTGGTTGGGTGATTTTATCATCGAGTCTTGTTAAGTGGGAGACTAGATTAGGGAGGGATGAAGTTGCTTGTTGATTGGCTCCAGGTTTCAAAGTGGAGCACTTTATGGGTAAGATTTTTTGTGTGATTGAGAATTCTTGTTTAACTGGGGGTCTGAATCCATTATTCTGTTTTATGTTTAACATCTTGAAAGGGGCATTTCACTAGATTTGAAAATACTAATTTAATTCTCTTAGATGTAACCTTTATCAATGTCATACTGGAGTGCTAGATTTATATTAGCAATCTTATGTTAATAGTCTTTCTTCAATTCATTGTGTATGTAGGAATCCTAGATTTCAACTTCTGTTTCTATCAGTTCATCACTGAATATAGTCTTAGTTTTATTGAGTATTCATAGAAACATCTTTCTGAACATTAGCTGCTCAGCAATATTTAAAACGCTAAAGAACTTTTTCTTGACTAAGTACAACATCAAGACATCAATAAATTTCAAGTAATCTGTCTTAGTTACTTTCTCACTACTGGGACAAAATGCCTAACACTCACAAGTTAATGGAGGAAAGGTTTATTTCAGCTCCAGGCTGTAGAGGTTTCAGTCAATAGTCAGTGGGCTCTAAGGCAGAGCAGCATAGCAGAAGGTCAAAGAGAAAGAAACAATTTGTGGTGTGCTCATGTGACAGTGAGCTGACCATACATCTTTTCCTTTTTATTCCATCCAGGACATAAGCCTATTGGTTGATGCCACCCACACCTCGACCTATACAAAACCAATCAGTGGGGTAATTTAGTTACCACACCTTTAATTCAGCATCACACACTTATGGTCCAGCCACCTCCCAAAAGCCCCACCTAATGAGGGCACAAGACTTTGGAGGGATATCTAGATAGAAGCCATAACAACCCCATTAAGAACAATAATCTAATAATCATCAACCTCAGAAAAAGGAAAATATCAGGATTAGTGTTTCCAACCTGACTAGAATGAGCCTCTAATTAAAGAGTACTCAATTTAGGCAGAAGAACTGATGTATACACAGCATCAAATTTTATTATGTTCTTGTAAAACAAATACTTGTAATGCAATTCTATTATTAAAAACCGATTTGGTCTGCCCACTGTTGCTCTTGCCTGTAATCCAGCTACTAAGAGACTGAGGCAAGAGATAGCAAGTTCCAGGCCAGTTTGGACAATTTAGCAACACCCTGTCTCAAAATTTAAAAAAGGGCTGAAGATGTAGCTCTCCAGAAGAGAGTTTGCCTAGTGTGTGCAAGATCTTAGGTTCAATCTTCATTACCACAAGAAAAACTTTTTTCTTTGTTCTGCTGAAGTGCTCCATTTTAAGATCTAGTGTCTAGTATCTCATTAACAATTATAAATAGTATATAGGCATTGTTATGGTGTGTGTAGATGTCCTCCCAAAGCCTCATTCACTTAAAAGTGAGAGCAGCATGGGGCTTTTTCAGAGCTTGCTCAATCTGCAGTTTGGGACTGATTCATGGTTCAATGCTAGGATTAAAAGTGCTGTATCATCCCACTGATTGGATTAGCACCACCCCAATCTGGGCAGTCTGGATAAAATAAAGGAGGGAAGAAAAGGGCTTGTCTTTCCCTTTTGCTCTTGTTGTTTTTGCTGTCTTCGAGCACCACGAACAGTTGCCTACCATGTGCCATTCGGCCTTAGAGCCAGGTGATATGGACTGAAACCTCTACCAACTCTGAGCTAAA